TGACTTTAAAGCTGGATCCGCCCCTGATGACGCCAATTGTGGATCACCATGTATATAGTTTTTGTTAAAACGCCACCCTGCGCTGCAAAATGAATAACGATTTTACCATGGTAACGAGAATAAATTGACATTTATAAATAGTGATAAGTCAAAAATATATTATAACTTTTGCAATATTAAGGGAAAACTGAGACTTCGGGATGACTGTAAGTATGTTTTCGGTGTCTTCCACTGCTTTTCACGCTCTGTATTGAAAAACCTCCAAATAATTTCCAATAAGGCAAAATGCGCAGCAACAACTATCCATTCATTTAAGGCTATTGAATCCAGTCTGATTTCATATATTAATGTTGTAGAAATATACTATAATCCCGGCATTTATACACAAAAATTCAAAAATCCCGCGCTTTGAAACCGGAGTTGGTAACTTTGAATTGAAATAGTTAATTGTGTTGGTGATTCTTTGGCTGTCAACGCAACATAACCTAAGCGAGTCCTTGTCTTTTTCTATGAGCATTTACTCACAAATTGATTTGCTTGCAGACTTTCAGTTCGATTGCTTCAGTGAAAATGTCGACGAGTTCGTTGGAAATCGAGGTAATTCTGAGCTACTGAGCAAAACCCCCCATTTGCTTCCACCCAGCTTGGTGTGGTTTTATGACGAAAGTAACAAATGGCAATATGGCCAGGTCTTGAAATCAACCCACTGAATGGCCAAGATTTCAGGCCAGCCATATTGAATAGACATTCCTAGATTCAAAAAAAATAATTCCACTTATTTCAGAACGAGAAAATTGACTGCCAAGAGGAAAATGACTTAGAGGCCCCCATGGACTATTCAGTCAAACATCCCCTGCAGAACGTCTGGACGTTGTGGTATTACGAAAATGATCGGAATCAGTCTTGGGAGAAAAATCAAAGGGAAATTTCGTCCTTTGACACCGTCGAAGACTTTTGGAGGTAACTGACTATAAAATATTTAAAAAAAAACCTTCCTACTAGGTAGCCAAGGACCATTTTTTAGCTTGTACACTTGATATTAAGCACAACTCTTGGTTGTAACACGTACAAATAAAACTCAACATTTAAAAAATTACCTTAAACCATACAACTAGGGGCGGATCCAGATTTAAAGTCGGGGGGGCTTATGTAGAAAAAATACAGTATTTTGTTATCTATGAATAACAACGTTAGTGAGGAAATTCGAATAGTTTTGGCCCAGAAAGCGAAACTTGAATATCAGACACTTACGTGCAAGATTATGCCAAAATTCCATGTTTTTCGTCCCGTTTTTGCTCATTCCTCGCACGCAAAATGAGCAAGAACGCTCATTTGTACATCATTCTAGACGGAAATAAATGGCCTTTTTAGAAAGTGAGCCATGGATGGGGAAATGTTGGCAGTTTTCTCAAAAAAGGCTTGAATTCAAGAAGTTTTAAATTTGCGTGGTTTTTTTTT